CTGGGGGGGGGGGGGCTGCATCCCATGGGATGGAAAGCTAATCCCTGCTTGGGGGAGCTTAGGAGCAAGCACTGCCTGCCTGGGCAGACAGATGGGCAGGGAGCGGAGTGGAAGCGGCACCAGCTGGAGCAGGGGGATAAGCAGAACTCGCGGCCCACGAGCAGCCCGGCTCTTGGCAGCGCCGCCGGCAGCCGCTCACCGGGGTGTGTGTCTGGGAGGGCACCGGGGAACACGAGGCTCCGCCGGGCTGCGGGGCTCCTCCATGCGGTATTTCAAAAGGCTTTGTTAACAAAGAGGGGGAAAATAAAAAAAAAAACAACCAAAACCAGCCCAATACGCCCGGTGGAGTTACAAGGAGAGATGTGCGTGTGCTGAAGCTGGTCCCACGGTGGGTTTAGCCAGGAGAGTGCAGGGACCAGGCTCTGCACAAACTGTGTTTTGTTGAGAGTTTTTTTCTTTTTTGAGACATCTTGGAAGACAGGAGTCTGCAGAGGAGACTGGAAATCACTGCTCCACCTACTAATGTGTCTCGCGGCATTGGGAAATACTTTGGCTCTCCGTTATCTCTTGATTAACTATTCAAAGGCATTAAACTCAAAAGAAAAGCAGGAAATGACCCAGCCTTGGGCAACCACTTTGTGCCACTCGCACTTTCCACACCGCCCTGCAAGCTGGGGCTTCCACCGCACTGGGGTGCTGGGTATGGTGATGAGCTGGGTCCCCCCAACCTCTCCAGAACGAGAGACTCTGGCCTGGCACAGCACCCAAAAGCAGTCACTCCCTGCCTGAAGAGTTTCAATTAAAGACGCATTTTTCACAAAATGACAAGAGCATATTACTACTTCCTCCTCCTCCCCCTACTAATATCATGTGTGCTTCTGTTTTTTGGGGTTTTTTTTTTTTTAAATATAAAATTCTAGGAAGGAAGCCTTATTTTTGGAGGAGGGAGGAGGAGCAACAATTTCCCAACCAGATCTGTCATGTCAGATAGAAAAAGAGCTCCTTCAAACCCCTGTGTGTTCCTCTCCGAGCAGCTGGATGTTTGCCCCCGAGTGACTCTCACCCCGGGCCCATGGCCAGCGAGGACACGCAGCTGGGTGCCGGCCCCTCGACCAGAGCAGAGAAACGCTGCAGATAACCCCCCTCTCTCCGTGTCTCTCGCAGGGCTGCTGTCCCCACTCACCCGTAGAGGCTCGGCCGTGGAGGCCGTAACCCGGCCGGGGGCGCAGGATGGGAAGCGCCGCTGGATTTGTCCGCACATCCCTGGCTGTCGTCACCGTTCTGGGTAAGAGCCTCTCATCTTTCCAGCCCGAGGTTTCCCTGGGAGAGCCCAGAGGGGCTGATGGAGGTGCCAAGGACGCGGGGTGCAGCTGAGCCCAGTTCTCCCGGGTGCTTTGTGCAGCCAGGGGAGGTGTCCATGCTTCCCAACTTCCCTCTGTAACACTCAAGGAAAAGGACGGGAGGGGTTGACACACGAGTCTCCCCTTTATTAAATTCAAACCGAGGTGAAATGCAGGAGGTGCAGATCCTCAGGCGAAGCCCCGGCAGGGCCGGTGCCCCTCTGCAGCCCAGGCTTGTCCTGGCCTCAGTGCGAGGAGGAATTTCCTCCTGCCAGCAGGACTCGCTCAAGGCGAAGCAACTTTGCCTCCTGGTTTTTCCAGGGAAGCCTTTTATTGGCCATACCCTGACTGCAAATATTCCCCCGTTCATCGGGGACCGTTTCTGGATCTCAGGGAGTCTCAGGCTGCACTCTGAAGGTCCCTTTTCAGCAGGGAGACATTTCATTTCAGACAACTGAGAATTAGATAATGTCTTCAAGCTAATACATCATCCCAGGCAGAGACTGCTCGCCTGTCCTTATAAATATCTAATTACCTTTTAATGTTCTCTGGATCCCCGAGGAGGCAGAGGGAGGGGTGGCTGCCCTAGATTGGGAGGCAATTAGCCTGTTTGGAAATTGGTCTGACCCAAATCTGGTAGAGGCAGCAAGATGCGAGTTGGACTCTCCCATTAACCAGCTGAGTTCATGCAACTTGCTCCCTGTCCAAGCCAAGCCCACAAAAAAATGACTCACTGTAAAGCCTGTGAGGTTATTTTCTCTTGACCTCTGGCTGATGATGCAATGGATCTCGGGAGGCAGCTGGGACAGAGAGAAATCCTCACTGGGAACAGGAGCAAGGGACAAAATGATGCCAGCTAGAGATAAGGCTCAGGGAAACACTCCAGGGGGGGTGAAAGCCCAAAGCCTCCAGGTCTGGGCTGTTGGCTCCAGCCCTGGGAAAGCGGGTGGGCAGTGTCACCCCTCCCGAACAGATGATTTCCCAGCAACATGTAAAAGTTTGAAGCTCATGAAGTGCACAGAGACGAGTCTAATGAAGAAGGCTGTCAGAAAAGTCTAAAAGTCTCTCTCGCTTTCAGTAAAGGCCATGGAAAATCTTGAAACCTAAGGCTAGCCAAAGCCCTGTCCCTTTGTTCCTCAGAAAGCTTCTCGTTAAAAATAACCCTCTGTTCCTCCGAGAGCCGCTCTTCAAAAAGAACCACTTTGATTTGTGCACGTGTGTGTGTGTTCAGATTTCCTATAAATCCAATTAATTGCCCAGCTCCCTCATATGCCAAGGCTTCAGGCTGTGGTCAGCGCTCCGGAGCTGTGGCTGTGCTGCCTGTGCTCAATAAAAGGATTGCTGCTGATGTCCTCATAAACTGGAATACATCTTGGAAAACGTTCAGCTGAGGTATTTATCATTTCCTGGTCTCCAAAGCTAGCGTGGGGCTCAGCACAAAGGGAAAACATTCATCCTCCTGGACACCTGGGCTTTCCAGGTCTGACTTTCAGCATATTCCGAATACTAATAATAACGCAAAAACACCTTGCCAGAAATAGGCCAGTGCCACTGCACGAGGGAGGCACTGGCAGTCACCTTCCCGCTTCCTGCAGTGGCAATGGAGATAAGGTTTGAGTTTTGTCTATTCCAGCAATATCTGGCATAAAAGTTTGGGATTTTTTCAGCCGCGCAGAGCCTGCTATGTCCTTGGTGGTGTATTTCATGATACGGTATTTTTTTCTCTCCCAAACAGCAGCACAAGTCGCTCTTCGAGCACTGTGTGAAAGCTTCAAGTGTTTCTGCAGCTGTTTTTGCAAATCTTAATTTTTCAGATATCCCACTTTCACCTACCCCTATTTATTTTGGAGTTAATATTTATTTTTCCTATTAACGAATGTTGGGTCTAGAGAGGAGTAGCAACATATTAACCGCAATTTCTGCTCTCCTAGCTGGATTTTAACACAGAAAGTAGGGCTGCGTAAGGCTTGCCCAACTCTGAGCAGGTTGCTCTGCTTCTTGCAGATTTGGCTTGCGGGCCTGAAGACCTTTATTTTGTGTTTGTTTTCTCCCCGTTATCCAAATGACCGAGACCAAGGAAAGCACCTGTTTTGTTAACATTAAAAATGAGAGTTCTGGGGCGACAGAAGTAGCCCAGTCGATCGGTCTCAGACACACTGAGATTTAACACTCTGCTTTGCTCTCAATTCTTAGTTCTAACCTTATCCCGATCTTGGAACTGTTTAATTATTACTTTAATCTAACCGTTGTTTTGCTTAATGGGTGAGATCCAGGCATTTCAACCCCCAACACCAACCAGACTCCTTGGAACTGTAGATAAAAACTCATCCAAACTCCTGGCATTGATTACATTTGAGAAAATCAATGCCTGACAGTTGTAGTCCATAACCTTGGCAGAGAGAAAGGGGCAGCAGCGGACAGCAACGGGGTGCAGACGCTGGGTGGAACCAGAAGGGATGATTAGCGTAATTTGGCTTGATTGGGAAAGAGCATCCCATGAGAAAAGGCATGCATGCGAGTGTTAATAATACATATTTTATTTGGTGTTAATGGTATATATTTTATTTGGTAAATAAATAGAAATTATTTACCAGATGCTACCTGTTAATCTCAAAATGTAAAGCCGTTAAACCTTAATCCATTCACTACCATCTATCAGAGTACAATTAATACACTACTTATTAATTTCTCCATTAACTCACGATTATTTTACCTGCTGGTCAGCAGAGTTATTTCCAGCTGAGACTTGCTCAGCATAACCGCTGCTGACCCAACTGAGGGAAGATTTCCAGCTTGCACAAGCTTCTCCTTTGTCAGTATAACTGTATAGGGGGAAAATGGCACCTGTGCTAATTTGGAGGGAATACAACCCTCAAAACGCTGCTTTTCTCTTGCTCTGAAGGATCAGGCACAGGCTAGCGTCCCTCTCAGCTGTGTGACACTGGGGACTGTCAGGCTCCTGCCCGCGTGCAGCTCCCTTGCAGCAGCGCATCCCGCTGCCGGAGCCCAGGGCCGGGGTAATTGGCTGATGCTCGGACACAAGGAGCGGCTGACAGCTGCTCCGAACCCACTGAGCCAATTAGTGGAGCCCCTCTCCCGTCTCATCCTCATCTCCACATGCGAGAGCAGCCGGAACATGAGACGAACCCCAGGAGCTACAGGTAAAGAGCTGCTTTCCCTGAGCCCAGGAGAGCTGAGCTGGCCATTCCCTGCTGGAAGTTACTCTTGCATAAAACATCACACTTACTGAAGTCACTTAATTTAACTATTGACCATGCTGGGTACTGTAGGGAAGGAAACAGATTGCTGGTTGGCATGGCAGTTTTAAGGCAGTTATTAATTCAATTACAAAGCACGGAAGGATCCTGGGGGGAGCTAAGCTTCTCTGAGCTTATCACTGCAGAGGCAGAGGGGACTGTGCTGGGAGGGAGCACACTGCCCTGAGGTGGCTCCATCCCTGCTGAGGGACGAGCATTTCTCAGGGTACCAGGGAGAGAACAGACTTGCTGGAAAGCTTATCCCACTAGCCGCTTCTGCAGGTAAGAGATTTCCAGGCCGCTTCTGCTTTGTTCTTATTTATTGGCACTGCTGGTTCCACAAAGCCTGTCTGTGCGGAAGGGGTCTGCTAGAATTTGCCGTTTATCTGAGACACAGAGTCACTCACTGCAGACAGCTGGCACCTGTAGGTGAAACGTCTTCATCACGCCAAAGGGTGGCCCAGACACAGTGTAGGAGAAAGCAGGTAGGGCCTTACGTTCCTCCTGTGCCTCCCACCAGCTGAACAGCAGAACTGATACCTGCAGCAGTGGTTTGCCCACCAGCAAGCTGCAGGGTTGAGTCATCAAGAGCTGACGACGTTCGGACACTGGGATGTGCAGGGAGGCAGCGGTGCCAAGATCCAGGATCTCCTCACCCCTCCCTTGTCCTGGAGGAACCAACCAGCCAAAGTTTGTCCAGAGGAGGGAACCAGCAGGTCCTCACTGCCAGGCACAAGGAGGGCATCCAGGGGTTCCCAGCTCCAGTTCCGCCGGTTCGTGGTTGTCCCAGAGGCGCGTGTCCTTCATCTGCACATCTTCCAGCAGGTGTGGTCCCTCTGGCACAGCAGAAATGGTGCGAGATGCTCACCGGGGAAGGCACACTATCTGCCCAAAGCCATGGTCGAGGCTGGGCTGTGGCGACAGATGGGTTGTGATTTGCGTGTTGCTCCTTCTTTTATTCTAGACGCAGTTCTGACGCTGCCAGGGACACCCTACAAAACTAAAAATGAGAATTTTTAGACAAAGCTAAATCGAACTGAGCAGGTTTTCCCTCTCTCGCAGTTTGGTGCCATGCACAGAGTAGCACAAGGAGCTACGGGCCGGTGTTTGAGGAGCAGCCTGTCCACACCCTCTTCCCTGAAGGCTCAGCAGAAGAGAAAGTCACGCTGGCTTGCCGAGCAAGAGCCAGTCCTCCTGCGACCTACAGGTGAGCTCGCCTGCTCTCTCCCTCTACCACGACTGGGACATAACCCTCCAGAATTTTGCTTTCTGTTCTCCGCTTTTCTATAAAAAAAATCCCTATCATGGGAATCAGCCTCCTGGTGCACACGTGATGCGTCATCCCTCCCAGGTCACAGACCAGATATAAATCTAACTCAAATCCCACCACAACCCAGCTGGAAAAGCAAAGAAGCACAGCCTCCTACGAGTGAGGCACCACGAGTGTTGCGGTGAGTATTTACCCCTCTCACTTCCTACACTTGCTCTCGGCAGGTGGAAGATGAACGGCACAGAGATAAAGATGGAGCCAGACTCCCGTTACAGGCTGGTTGCGGGTGACCTAGTGATAAGCAACCCAGTGAAAGCCAAGGACGCTGGCTCCTACCAGTGCATGGCATCTAACTCCAGGGGCACGGTGGTCAGCAGGGAAGCCTCCCTCCGCTTTGGCTGTAAGTTTGTCTCCACAAGGTAAATGAAATGCAGCCACAGTTAGGCTGGGAGTAAACTGAGCCCCCCTGCTCGCGTTAATAAAGGTCGGAGAGAAGCTCTCCTGTGCGTGGCACCCAGCATCACCTGGAGAAATCCCCCGGTGCTTTCCATTATCATGGAGGTGCAGCAGAAATTTAATGCACTACAAAGAAAGTCAGTAATGTTTTTGGATCTTCCACTGTACAACCGCTGAAAAGACCAGCTGGTGGAGGGGGAGATAAAATACAGTAATTTCTCCAGCTGTTTTTTTCATCCATGGACAGGTTTCACTTTGCATGTTTAGTTTTGCAGGAATTCTCTGCAGAAGAGCGAGACCCCGTGAAGATTACAGAAGGCTGGGGAGTGATGTTTGCCTGCAGCCCTCCTCCCCATTACCCAGGTAAGGGTTTGCACTTCAGCATCGCCACCAGCAGGGACATGGAGAGATGCAACAGAGAGGGATTCCCAGACATGTGAAGCACTCCTTGCTTCTCTTTGGGAACTTTAGAGAAGCAAATCAGTTTTAATTCAGACTCTGTAAAGCAACAAAATAGAGGTAGGACTCAGCATGTGGAGAAAACAAGTCCCATCCAAGGATCAACCTCAGCTTAGACTGGTCTAGAAAGGGGCCCGCTGGGTTTAGTCCCACCTGGGAGGTCACAGGCAGCTTGTGCAGTTTGGTCCTTTTTCCTTTCCCCACAGGTTTATCCTACCGATGGCTCCTGAATGAGTTTCCCAATTTCATCCCAGCCGATGGAAGGCGTTTCGTCTCTCAGACCACAGGAAACCTTTACATTGCCAAGACAGAGGCTTCCGACCTGGGGAACTACTCATGCTTTGCCACCAGCCACATCGACTTCATCACCAAGAGCGTTTTCAGCAAGTTCTCCCGGCTCAGCCTCGCTGCAGAGGGTCAGTGCTCAGTGCTCTTGGATTACCGTAAGGGAACTGGGCAAAACGGAAAAATTAACAAACCACCGCAAAGCAACCTGAGCTCCACAGGACTCAGCAGCGCACAAATCACCCACCAGCCTCTCAGGGCAGCTTAAAGAGCCTACAAAAATATTAATTGGCTGGAACCTGGGGGGAAGCACCCCTCTCCCCTGGTTTTGCCACTTGTGCAGCTACAAACTCCACCAGCGGGGTTTCTCTGTTTGGAAGGGAGACATGGCACAGGGTGCAGCCTGAGCAGGCTCACCCGTCCCTGAAACGCCTCTGCCTTCGGTGACCTTGCAGAGGTGCAGCTAAAGATACTTCTCGTGCAGGGCGAAGGGTGTTAAGCAGGTAGGAAATTAAGGAGAAATAGTCCTGAGATGTAAATAGACTTTTAGAGCCTTCAGTCAGAGCTGTTTTAAAAAGAAAATAAAACTTAGCCTCTGCTGCCTTATCCAAATGCACAAAGGTTCTGGAAAGGAGTGTAACCCTGAGGGTACCTCTGCCCTCTAAGACCTCACGTGTGCCATTCTGAAGTCACCCCGAACTCCTCACCGGTGTTTTCCTTTTAACAGATGCCAGGCAGTACGCACCCAGCATAAAAGCCAGGTTTCCTGCAGACACCTACGCTCTGGCTGGGCAGATGGTGACTTTGGAGTGTTTTGCCTTTGGAAAGTGAGTGCAGCATCTGCGTCGCTCAGGCTCAGGCCGGGGAGGGTATCGCAGAACCTGCAGCTTTCACAACCTCTCCCTTCAACGTAGAGCAGGGATGGGGGGGGGAATAGGAAGAGGGAGGAATTGGCTAAAGCCATCTGTCCTGCTGGCCAAGGCCCAGCTGGGGGGGCCGGGGTGGGTAAATGGGGACTGAGTTACACTAACGCAGCATGGGGTACCCGAGAGCTGGCCTTCACCAGATTTACTTTTACACAGCCCCGTTCCTCGAATAAAGTGGAGGAAACTGGACGGCTCGCAGTCCTCCAAGTGGATCGGCAGCGAGCCCCTCCTGCAGATCCAGGATGTTGACTTTGAGGATGAAGGCACTTACGAGTGTGAGGCTGAAAACATCAAAGGGAGAGACACCTACCAGGGCCGCATCATCATTCAAGGTAACACCTTTAAGCAAGACACCCCAGGCAATGGACTGAGCCTCTGGGAGTGAAACCACTACCTCTGATCCTGTCTCCTATCAGCCCTAATTAAACTCATGCAAAGTTCCAACAAAGACCTGCAGAGATCACTCATACCTTTCTTCAGTGGGTACGTTTAGGTTATGGCAAGTAGAGAGAGACTTTCTAACTTGCTCTAAAATAATTCTAGCGAAAATGAGGTAACCCGGGAAGGGAGCACAGTGGTAAAAGTCAAACTTAGCTCGCAACCGAGATCCTTTCCAAGCCTGGCGTACTTCCCACAAGGGTTAATGCTTGGAGTTATGAATCAGATCTAGTCAAGTTACAAAACTTAACCTGGTTATCACAGTCTGAATCCAGTCTTTCCTGAAGTTCAGGAATGACTGCGTTTACTCAAGAAGAGAAACCATAACGTTCCTCCTCAGATCTGGATTCTGCTGTAATTTTGTGCACGTGCACAGCTGCAGCCAGACCCACAGAGGACTCGGCCTTGCATCGCCGCACAAAAGGCGAAGGCTGTTACTATGGTGAAACACGCTGGGATAAATAAATCTGCCAGCAGAGATGACACAATGAGTATCCTTCTGCCTGCCTGGCACAACAAACCTCTGGTCTGATCTTGGCTCTGCCACCTCTCTTGCTCCTTTGCAGCTCAGCCGGAGTGGCTGGAGGTGATCGCGGACACGGAAGCAGACATCGGGTCCGACCTGCGCTGGAGCTGCGCGGCCGCCGGCAAACCCAGGCCCGCGGTGCGATGGCTGCGGGACGGGCAGCCCCTGAGCTCCCAGGTACCTCCGCGCAGGCCTGGCCGCCACAGCACCTCGGCCACCTCGCACCAGAACTTGCAGTACTAGAACCTGCTGCTCCAGACTTAAGACCCTCTACTGCCTCGCTGCAAACGCATCTCAACCCCGATTTATCACCCCCGCATCCCTATTCCATGTGCCCCCATGAGGCTGCAAAGCAATGCCACAGTCCTTGCCGACAGCAAGTTCCTTCTCCTGTCACTGCCATCCCAGCCACTGCTTCATGCAACTACAGGGACTCACAGCCAGTTATCAAGGCGGATAAATAGCACCTTGTACCTGTCTCTGTATGACCTGCACGTTGCTGCTCAGGCACTCACAAGTCTCAGCAAACGGAGCACAGCCATGTGGGGTAGTGACCGGACAGACGGAAAAAAAAAATAAAAAAATTGTCCTGCGTTTTCTCCCACGGAAAACCAGGCTGGCTTCCAAATGGCATAAGAGTCTGTAATGAAACTCAACCCTGAACACACCAGGCTTGAGTTCCATTTTTGTTTTTCTCATCTAATGGGTTCATCCTCTTGTTTGCACAGAACCGCATCGAAGTGAGCGGTGGAGAGCTGAGATTTTCCAAGCTAGTCCTGGAGGACTCTGGCATGTATCAGTGTGTGGCTGAGAACAAGCATGGCACAGTATATGCAAGTGCTGAATTAACAGTGCAAGGTAATTTCTCATTTCCCAGTGCTCTGGGTTTCAATGGGACACTGAAGCATTTTAGGTCTCTTCCTAATATCCTATGCTTGTGGTCTCAGAGGAAGATAAGAGCAGACAAAAACTGCTTTACTCACCATTGAAATATAGTTGCTGGTTCAACAAGACACTCTAGAACCCATTAAAATTTAAATCTCGTGTAAATTCAGTAACGCTGAAAGAGAACAAGGACATCTGTTTAGCTACAGAAAGTGTACAGGACAGCCAGCAGCAGCACTACAAGCTCTCTCCCACTACACTGCCCTCCTCTTTTTCGGGAGGAAAAAAGGTCGAAAAAGAGTTCAGTATCCATTCAGCCTGCTTTGATGGATGGTGACTGGAACTGGACCGATGCCAGACTTGTTCCACATTAGTCTAAAAGCTCATCTCCTCGTAGTCAGTAGATGCCAGAGATAAATTAAAGGCCCTAAGCATCAACTGTCCAACATTAACACATGGCAATGCACGAGGGCAACAGATCAAACCCAAATTCAAACGCTGCAATTCCAGGAGGAGTTTTAGGCAAGCTGGATGTCTGCTTTGGTGATTTTGGCCAGGATATTGAAGAGAATATCCTCTACATTTTCAAAAGCAGCTGTTCTTGTGTCTCTCAAAGACCTTGCACTTGTTAGGGTCATATCCCATTGCTACATACGACACGTGTGTCACATAACACCTGCCCCGGCAGGTGTTAGAAACCACCCGGCAGCAGAGGAATCACTCCTTCATCTCGCTCACCAGATATTGCCATGCTTCTGTCACCAAGTCATCGAACAACAGATCAATACCTAGTTACACGGCAGTTTAAATGCTCACATAGCAGGGTTTTCTAATCATTCCTTAATCCTCTTTTTCTCCCCTGTAGCCTTAGCACCAGATTTTAGACTAAATCCAGTGAAGCGACTGATACCTGCAGCCCGAAGTGGGAAGGTCATCATCCCATGCCAACCAAGAGCAGCACCAAAAGCCACTATACTCTGGACCAAAGGGACTGAACTTCTGATCAACAGTAGCAGGTAGCAGCACAGAGTCAGCTTCTACCTAGAAACCATAGCTAAAATCACGTATTTTTTTTTCTTGCCAGAGGACTGGACTAGATGACCCAAGTGTGCTGCTACATCCCTGAACATAAGCACTTTGTTATTCCTCCTGGTTTCTTCTTTAGAAAACTCCTACATTATATTTTGCAGTCCTGTTTTTCCCACCAATTTTTCTAAAATCAGCAAGGGCTGGAAGTTGTTGGGTGTACAGTGAGCAGACATTTTAACCTTCCTCTTGTATGGTTCTTCTTCCTTTCTAGGGTGACTATTACCACAGATGGCACCTTGATCCTCCAGAATATCAGCAAATCTGATGAGGGAAAGTATACCTGCTTTGCTGAGAATTTCATGGGCAAAGCCAACAGTACTGGAATCCTCTCTGTTCGAGGTAGAGATGTTTGCCTTGATTTGGGTCAATCGAGCAAGAAATGTGTAAGAATGCCATGATGTGATATTTCTCCTCTCCTTATCCTCCCCCAAATCAATGCAGTACTCAGGGAATCCAAGATAATCCGGCCTGTGGAGCAGCAAACCTTCTGCCTGACGCACCACATCATACCTCCCACCAAGTGGTCCTTGAGAAAAGCATTTCCATTTTCTAACCACTGTAATCCCCCACCTTCCTCCCGTAAAACGACAGCTGTTAGAGAGGGATGGCAAGTTGGAAAGCGTTAGTTGGTCTGAATGCTCTGCAGCATTCATCTACGTCTGGTCCATGGACGTTTGCAGCTAACAGCCCTCTCTGCTCTTGCTCTGCAGATGCCACCAAAATCACATTGGCACCATCTAGTGCTGATATCAACGTAGGTGAAAACCTGACTCTGCAATGTCACGCGTCCCACGATCCAACTATGGACCTAACCTTCACCTGGTCGCTAGATGATTTCCCCATTGACTTTGACAAGTCCGAGGGGCACTACCGGCGGGCCAGTGTGGTGAGTAGAAAGGGCAGTTACATACCATCGAAAAGGACAGAAAAAATAATCCCAGCCTCTTTGTGTGCACGTTGAATGCTAGATTGTGATCAGGCGTGGTCAAATGCTCTGCCCACTGTCTTTTCTCTTCCCCACACAGAAGGAAGCTATTGGAGACCTCAGCATCTTCAACACGCAGCTGAAGCACTCGGGGCGGTACACGTGTACAGCCCAGACAGTTGTGGACAGCGCTTCGGAGTCAGCCACGCTGACTGTCAGAGGTAATTGCTATGTCATAAGGTCACCCGCTCCTTACAAGCGTGAAGTAACGGCATGGTCCTTGCAAGGGATCAGTTCTCCCTCACATCTATCATTTGAACTGGGTGGGACAGGCTTATTGAACTTTTCTGGAGGTCAGACTTGGAGGGGAGGCTTCCAGCTTCCACAACAGAAAGGCCTGATTCTTATTTATGACTTGTACAATATAAAGAGCAATAAACCTCCACATCTTTCATCTCAGTAATACGTTTGTCTGTCTCCCACCATCCCAGGACCCCCAGGCCCTCCTGGGGGTGTCGTGGTGAGAGACATCAGTGACACCACCGTCCAGCTGAGCTGGAGCCGTGGCTTTGATAACCACAGCCCTATAGCCAGGTACATCGTCGAGGCACGGACCCTCCTCTCCCCCAAATGGAAGCAAATGCGCACCAGTAAGTGTCTCGAGGGCAGCGGTGGTGGCACGGCCCGTGCTGGCTGCGGAGCATCAGTTCCCTGACAAGTTCCTGCTCTGTGCTCCTGCGCTGGCTGCCACTCACTCTGTTTATTCTCCTCTCATGTTACTGGATTATATAGATCCTGTAAATATTGAAGGCAACGCAGAGACAGCCCAGGTGGTGAATCTCATTCCCTGGATGGATTACGAGTTTCGGGTCTTGGCGAGTAACATTCTTGGAGTTGGGGAGCCAAGTTTACCCTCCAGCAAAATCCGCACCAAAGAAGCAGGTAGGTGCAGATAGAGGCAGAAAGGGGAATCAGAGGTACCCGTTCCCTACATGCTGGAGCAGGAAGGCTGGCTCGCACCACACCTGGGGGCAATTAGTCACCTCCTTGAGCGCTCCTAGAGGTGATGCCATCACAAAATTTTCTGCCTTTTTGCCCATTTAAACGTCAAAGACAAAGCACTACCAGAGCTGGCAGCTAACCTCACCAGCGTTAGATACGATATATTAAGCCATTACAAATCCTACCTTCAAATCCTGTACTTCCTGGGCAGTAATGCTTAGAGAGGGGAAAGAGCCCTACTATATCACAGAGTATAACTCTGCAAAGACAAGGTAAATTTCCCAGCAAATGGCTGTGAATGTTCATTTTATCTTCTGCTGCTTGAACATGCAAGCAGAAGGGATGTAAGAACAGCAGCGGAACTGCTCTCAACATTCCAAATGAACGTTAACTCCTTTCTAATAACAGCTCTCCCCCGTATCCCTGCTTTGGAGCTTGAGCCGTGTCCCCTCAGAGACATGCTGCCTCCACATAACTTGTCAGGCACTACCCGGTATTCTAGACCTGATTTTCACAAACATCTGAAACACTCACGGGTGAAAATATAAAGACAAGCACTTGCATGTGAGCTGACAAAGCCTGGCTACGCGCAGACCGCGCCGTGTCTGTGCTCATCTTCATCGCTATTGTTTCCTTAACCCAACTTGCGCTGTCTGCTTTTGTTTGGGGACCCGACAGCACCTACTGTGGCACCATCTGGGCTCAGCGGAGGCGGAGGGGCTCCCAACGAGCTGATCATCAACTGGACGGTAAGTCAGCAGCACGGCACTGGCCGCGGATGTTGGGAGAGGGCCAAGGGGAGGAGCACGTGCCAGTTCTTTGGGGAAATCAGCGCTGCGATTACAATTTTGACACGTGGTTGAGACAAACGCTGTGCTTAGTCCAAAGTCTTGCTCATTTGAAGGGACCAAGGCTCCTCTCTCTTTCTAACCCCCTCACAGCCGACGCTGCGGGACTATCAGAACGGAGATGGCTTTGGCTACATCTTGTCGTTTCGCAAGAAAGGCACCCAGGGGTGGCTGACAGCAAGGGTGCCGCACGCAGAATCGCTGCACTACGTCTACCGCAACGAGAGCATCGGTCCCTACACCCCCTTTGAAGTGAAGATCAAAGCGTACAACAGGAAAGGAGAGGGACCAGAGAGCCTCACTGCCATCGTGTACTCTGCAGAAGAAGGTAAAAGAGGGACTGCAGAGACTTTTCTTTGTCCAATCAACCAACGGATCCTCAACCAGCTCCCCGTGGAGAGGTGTCTGTCTGGGAGCTCGACAATAGGAGAGGTTTCTTTTACTCAAAGAACAGCTGACAGTGATTTCAGCATAACATTTATCTTCGACTTCAAACACACAGATAGACGTTTCCCTAAGCCCAGCCGTGACTGTACACGCAGAGCTTCAGAGCAGACACAGATCCTCACAGCACACAGCTGTGGCCCTGCTTGTCCTATTAAGTCCCTAAATCCCTTCCTCTCGCTTTGCTCCGTACACATAATACCAGCTGTCTGGCTGCACAGTAATGGTGCTGCGGGAGAGCTCTTCGTTTCGGTATGGTGATTATGCTGCCCAGAGCTAGGGAAAGGATTTTATTCCCTTTTGTTGTCTTTTTCAGAGCCAAAAGTCGCTCCTTTCAGAGTTATAGCCAAAGCTGTCCTGTCCTCAGAAATGGATGTGTCCTGGGAGCCCGTCGAGCAGGGAGACATGACTGGAGTGCTTCTGGGCTACGAGGTACAAGCCTGCCATGGGAATGAGACACTGAAACCAAGATCAGAGAGTCCAGCAAAAAAAATTCCCCCAGGTTAAGTGAGGTGAAAGGAAACAGCGTTTTCTTTCTAAAGATGGAGGATGATTAATGGACAGCATGAGGCTCTAATAGGGCCAGTACTACTGCTCACAAGAGAGATTAGTAAGAGATAAGCCTCCTTTATTCTGCCACTTGCCTTTCCACACAGCCCATAACCATATTCCCAGGCACATGCTAAGCAAAATGCACGGAAACAAGTTCCAAAGGGTCTCCAGCGCCGGCTGTGGTTGGACAGAGTCTGGTATCTGGAGATGCCCCCTCTATCCTTACTAAACCCATCATATCCCTTTCTATTCAGATCCGGTACTGGAAGGACGGTGATAAAGAGGAGGCAGCTGACAGAGTGAGAACAGCAGGGCTGGTCACATCGGCTCACGTAACAGGCCTAAACCCCAACACGAAGTACCACGTGTCAGTCAGAGCTTACAACCGGGCTGGAACCGGCCCCCCCAGTCCCTCCACCAACGTCACGACAACAAAACCACGTGAGTGAGCCCCGACCACTCTTGTTTGGCACGTTGTACTCCCTGGGGCTGCTGCTGCTTCCCCCAGAGGATCCCCAATGATCAGCTAACTGATTAGCTTTTTCATCTTGGGGCTGTAATGCCATTTTCAGTAGGCCATAAAACAGTTCCCTGAATTTCCTCAGATCAGTCCTGTGGTCTGTGTATCACTTCTCTGAGACCTCTGTGCTCAGAGTAATGTTTGCTGGGATACTTCCCTTTAAACCAACCACAGTGGTGCCATCAGCCCTGTCACTAGTCGTAGGATCTCAGGAGACAGTTGTAACCAGCTCAACCTTCTCATCAGTTCCTGACTTACTGAATCTCTGTCTTGTTTTGTATCTTTTAGCACCAACGAGGCCACCTGGCAACATCTCCTGGACTTTTTCTGGGTCTACGGTCAGCATCAAGTGGGACCCAGTGGTGGCGAAGGCAGACGAGTCTGCAGTTACGGGGTACAAGGTACAGGCAGCATGCAGCTGGCCTTCTCTTATAGGTGACCCTAAGGAAACCAGAGTCACCATAAACTCAACCTTGCCTCTTCCAACAGATGCTTTACAGGCAGGATTCCCACTCTGCTCCCACCCTATACCTGGCCAGCAAGAGCCGGATTGACATCCCCGTCCCCGAAGACTTCACTCACGCCTTTGTACAGATCAGGGTGACAGGACCTGGGGGAGATGGAACCCCAGCAGAAGTTCACATCCTCCGAAATAGTGGTAGGTACACTGCTCTGGCTGCACACACTCTGTGCAGAGTCAGTCATTCACAGGGCACTTCACAGACGGATGGAAAACGAGCTCAGAGAGAGGAGTTAACCTGCAGCACTACTTGCCACTGTGCTTTGAGAAGTAATGACTTAGTCTTGCCTCCTCCCCTACCTGGCCATAGCACAGCATAACAAAAACGCCGTTATGTTTTAAAATCCCACCCTCCCTGCTAGGAACACGGGGGAACATCCTACCCCAGTGTTTTTAGGTTGAGACTCTGGAATTGGTCTTTGGCTCCCTTGTGCTGTTCACCCAAAGGAACTTCTGATGAATCCCTCTGCAGCCCTCCATCAGCTAACTCCCCCCAGACTCTAAGCAACCTCTCAGTCTAGTCTGAACCCAGCTTTACTACCTGCAGCTAAAGCCCTTGAGGCCCCACACAAGCCCGACTTAGATTCACCAAGAGTGAAATTCCGACTCTGCTTGCGGGGGGCCTGACCCCAACTCCAGGTGGTTCCCTTGATTCAGGGGGTAAGTACTCAGGGCCCACCCCCCCATTCTTGTTTCCAATACAAGTGTTCCCAGGAGGTTCATCAGTGACAATCACAATCCGAGCAGGCAGAACCCCAGAACTAACATTTTACCAACCCTCCCAACTCTTTCCTCGAGACATCCAGTTGTCTCTGTGCAACAGGACAGTTGCTCCTTCCCCATTCTCTTTCTTTCAGGGACAAGTATGATGGTGGAAGACTCTGTGTCGAGGCCAGTGCCACACGCTGTCATTATCACAACTAACTCTCTGGTAATGGTGGCCCTCATCAGCTACCTGGAGCTCTGACGACGGCCGGTGCAGCAGGGGACTCCCGGACACGCTTCCTCCCAAGCCAGTGGGAACTACTCAATACTCGGCTGCTGCAACTTCCAAGTTTGTATCACAGCAGCTCTTGGAGAAAGGATTTGACAACATCGTTTTAAGGGAGGAAGAAAGAAACAGTTTGGTTTGGTGGTTTGTTTTTTTTCTTGGAAGGATATAAGCTTTCATACAAGACATGGGTCTTTAACTGATTCAAAATTTTTTAACGAAACAAGTAAAACGAAGAAGAATTCTACATGAATTCTGACAGCCAACTGCCCCACACACTGTATCCAGTAGGTTTTCTGCCTTATGAAGCCATGTACTAAAATAACCAGACTGCTAAATTTTACCTTTTTTTTTTTTTTTTAATATGTACAGTGAATTTTGGGGGGGTAAGGGGAGGACGGGGACTGAGGATTTCACAGTGATCAGCATGTTCCATACCAATCCCAGTCACTGCCATCTCTAATGACTTATGGGACAGGATTATTTCCACCCCCACCCCATAATATGAGCCAAATTCTGCAGCAACCAGCCCAAGGAGACAAAGCCACAAGAGAGACTGATCTCTGCCCCATCCTGAAGATCAGTAAACACAGAGTTTAGATTGCGAAAAGCTTTTTTTATGACACTGATGTAACTTGCAACCCCAGCCTATTGTTTGTATCAACTGTTACGCTGTGAGGTGCAACGTTCAATGTTATCCATATCCCACATGCTTTTGGGGTGTTTTTGTTATACTGTTTGCTTCTTTCTTTGTTTCTTTGGGGAGGAGAAGGGGTAAGAGAAAAGGAAATACTTTTCTAGCATCTGCTAATTCGGAGAGGCAGTTCTCCCTAATAAGGGAGATGTCAACATACCCAATTTCAACAGAGGGTCTTAAAGGAGGAAGAAAAAGGAAAATTACATAATTTAACAAGGAACTGCAGACTCAAGGAAGCCACCACTGGGGCAGCAATGCAAATCTGGGCTCAGGTTCATCACCCTACACAAACGGTTCCACCCAGCCAGAATACCAGTCTCAGCCTGGGACTGCCAGATTCTGACTGCAATAAGTCAGTCTGCTTTTTGGGTCCAAGGCTCATACAGCTAATGTACATGGGAGGGCTGACACCCCAAAGAAGTACAGGGATGTTGAGGTGCACCATGAACTAAAATGGTTGGGAACAGATGTTGCATACTAAAATCTCTCTGTCTGCCAGTAAAGCCATGGCCCAAAGTTAACAAGAAGCTGATTTACACTGCTGGCCGGTTAGAGCCCAAGCGCGGTTTTAGGGACCTTTTACGTGCCTGCACCTTCCTCCTTCCCAGCAGACAAGAGCAATCTCAGCTCCAGAATTACCTGACAAAGAGCTACACTTGCAGGACAGTGCGATGGCAAGGGACTGACGTGCAGTTTCCACATGAGATGCCAATTCCTTGCTCTTGCTAATCGTTTTAAAACTCCCATGTCCTAGGCTTTAGTGAGCATTTGAGAGATTACATGCACAAATCCCTGGTCTCCCCGAGTTATGCCGATTGTATATATCTCATCACATTATTTTTTAGCATCTGGCTTGCCCTGGAAGCAAGAAGGTAAATACAGCAGTAGGTTCACGATGCTCGATGCAAACAGCAAGGCTCTGGCTGAGGAAGAAGGGCTGCGATGTGTTCAGCAAACAAGAGGAATCTTTGAGAAATGGACAAAGAAAAATAAACTTACTGAAAGAGTCTAAACATTTAGAGCGTAGCTGCAGCAAAAAGAACGGGTACCTCACTGTTCCCGTTACAAATAACACCTGGGATAAAGTGGAAAAAAGACAAGAGCTCCCACTGATACCTGGCAGCCCGAGGCAGGCAGGAAAGGCACCCAGCACCCCCAGAGCCCGGCCCGAGGTTCCTCCGGGTCCCTCTGCAGCTCTCCACGAATTACCCCCTCGGTCCCTCAGGCAGGCTGAAACACTTCTTTCAGTAGGACAACAGCTAAATATAAATGATATTTTTGTATGATTTATGTTCTTGAATATTCTTAAATATTTTTATTGATGTTTGGAAGCTTTGTTCGGCAAAATATTTGATGTTGTTAATTCAGCATTTTTGTTATCACCTCCCATCTTGTCGGGCTTTTAACCTTTCTACCACCAAAGATAGAATGAAAGGCAAATTAGGAATTCGGTATTAGCTCAAAAGCAAAGCAAATTAGGGCTTAGGCAACGGTTACCTGATCGATATGCAGAACTAGCAGTAGCCATCATGAAAATATTTAGGAGGCATAAACGAACTGGACCTATGGAGGTTGTGAGCACTGCTGGAGGATGCTCACTGCAGCCCTGCAGAAGCCTGGGCCTGATGCAGGAGAGGAGCAAACCAAAGCAGCCAGGTTAAATGACGTGCCCAAGGAGCCTTCACCGCATGGAGCTGCAGATGCTGGAGGGAGCCTGGGTCTGATCCTGTGGAGCCGCCAGCACTGGGCAGGGGGGCTGGGAGGGGGGCGGACCAGAATGGAAATGGCTCCTATTGAAGAAGTGTGCCGCGCTCCTCGGAAGGAACGGCTGAGTGGGAGGGAGCTGCCTACCCACTGCGGTCAGGGTCATCCTGGTTCCAGGCACAGCCCCTGCGTGAGGCCAGCTGGGCTCACCCCATCCTGCATTACTAGCCCCACTGGCTCTCCCGAGGGGCTGCTACACCTGCATGTCCACAAACACAGCTAATTCCCTTCAAAAAGCGCACACCAGCCACCTCCAGGACTGAAGAACAAGCTTTGACGGCCCACATGTTGGATGGACTCTCACAAAGCAAGGTAACCCTGTGAAATCCAAGGGCTGAGGCTCAGCATCAGCCTAGGTCTGACCACACAGGCTGTGCAACGTCTCTTGCAGGAACTTGGTCTCAACAAACGCTTCCAAATGTGTCTGGCAACACTGGTGGCTCTGTTTTACTGAACTTCAGAGTGTTGGAAAGCAAGATGCTTTACAGCATGGTGCAAACAGGATCTAAATGCTGCAGTGACACTGGTTTTTAAATAGCAGCCGCCTGCAACGTTTCCCTGGGAAGGTTAATGCATTCTCCATACATTTCTTTGTTAAACTAGATCACAGGAACATTTTATATAACAAGTGAAAAACTACATGAGTTGGATCTCAAGCGTTCCAGTTTGCACTGCTCTGCGTTGCAAATGGGCTGAATATATTCTAATTTGTAAGATTTTCACATGACCAGCAGACCCCTTGAAAGTTAAACGCCTTCAATCTGAATTCAAGCTACACCTCTTTTTTTAAAAGGTAAATCATCAGTACGTACAGTTTCAGCAGTATGCATCTTAAACCAAAAAACCACTGAGCTTTTGCAACGTTTTAAGGATGGGAAGACTGAGTGACAACCACAACGGCCTTACAACCACTTGTTGTAATCCCAGCTCTGACTTTACCTACGGCTCCAAGTGATTATTTCACCACTCGCTGCCTCAGTTTCCCCTTTCCTGAAAAGTGATGCACAAGCAGGTCATTGTGTATTTGCAAGTTTTTTGCAGTTTGAGAGTATCTGAGCATCACAGCGCTGTCAAAGGCACCACGGCAGCTCACACAGGGTATCAGAGCTGACTCCAGCTCCCTGGCTCGGGCACTAAGAGCCACACAGCTGCAGCAGCACAGGCTGAGCAGTCGCTGCCCGAGTCCAGCGTGGCAAATCTGTCCTTGTACCCATGCTGTCTCTGCTGCCTAGTCCTCACCTAACTCCGCCAGCCACAGCTCAGCTGACATCAATGTTTCCCGAGTATTAGCATAAAGAAACTCTGAAAAACGCACATAGTAAACAGGCAGCCTTTCCCTCACAGCTTGTTCTGAAATTCTGGGGGAATTTGTTGATACTCCAAAGTTGCTGAGTGAAAAAGATGGTGTCACGTTATGAAACACGGCACGTAAAGCACAGGGAAACAGCCTGGGTGAAGGACAGGGCACACTGGGAAGGGAAGGGGACAGAAAAGGTTTTCCACCTGCAACACTGGTAGATGAGAAAGGCCAAGTTCAGGCCTAGACTATTACAGGCTAAACCCTGCTCCAAACAAGACAGGTTGGTTCCTGTATGTAGACACAAGCCACGTTCACACAAAGACTGCCTTGTCTTAGGCAGCCTGTTCTGCCATTTTATTTATCACAGGGTTAGGTGATCCACAGAAAAGGAGTTGCACAAGCAAAGGCAGCATTTGTACCTAATTAAACTTTACCGAGACTATAAAAAAAAAAAAATCTACATATAAAACCTAGCTAGAGCCACCAACATGAGAAAAACTGTAGGATAAACCTTCTGTGAAGCCACTTGGAGTTTCCCAAAATGCAGCAGAAGGGTTAAAAAGAAAGGTGGTCAGAGCCAGGGGAGAAAATTTAAGATTTTAACGTCTTAACAGAGTTTACTGGCTTTACACTATTGCATTAAGTTGCAAATTGATTTCCTGTCTCATTAAGAATCCCCTACGTTTAATTGCTCTGAGCATTTGCTTGAGAGATTAACTTGGAGTGATGAGTTAAGCGCCGTGGGTTTTGTTCTCAGCACTGTAATGGCTCGCTAAGGGAAGTCATCTCATTTCACAGGGTCCATATTACTTGTCAGTAGTAAAAACCAACCTGACAAGGCTGCTGTAAGGAGTATACAACAAGGGTGAAATGTTTTGAGACTCCCAAATGAGAGAAGCTTTACAGTTCTGATTTACTGATAACATAAAATAATCTTCTACCTGATACTGTTGAACTTACAGAGTGAAGATTGTGCCTCTGGTTTTAGGCTGTCTGGGCTAAATTCAACACTCAGCTGTAAGAGTTTGAACCAGAACAGCTCCCACTCGCAGCAGGACAGATGAGGTGTTGTGCCCCGAATGCGAGACACTCAGATCTTTGCCCAAGGAATCAGCTGGATAACGCAGGCATCGCATTCAGCTAACGCCCTGGGCAGGGGGGGGGTCTTCATCCCATCTGCTCGAAACCTGCCAAGCAATCCCCCACCCACAGAAACCCTCTGCTGGGAATATTTTAATCTAGCTTCACTACACACAAACAGGGCAATTTTCTTCTCGGTAACTTTCTTCTACGCTATTTTCTTAAGAGAACCAAACAGCAAACATTGTAAGCATACTGTACTTACTGTAATTATGGTTATTTATTGGCTACAGTAGCACGCAGTTCATAAATAAAGATCTTCAGAGACTTTAGACAACTACTGGAGTCTGGAGTACTTTTGTCCAGATTTAAATGCAATTAGTACCTTGCTCAGGAGTCCCGTTGGGCCAGGACTGTATTTTTCCTGACTGTCAACTGTGTGTATAATACAAACAAGGAGCCCAGTGAGACCCCATCCACACAGAACTGGACCCCTCAGAAGAGTTAGGTCAATGAAGATATAGTAAACTCGTATCCCATGACAGTGATAACTAATGAAAAGAGGAGAGACTGTCCACAAAGCAAGGAGTTGCAGGTGTTGAGGGTCTGGTTGGAGATGTTAATACAATGTGCTCCCTCTGGCTGGTTTTCCAACGGCAGGGAAGCAATGCTAGAAAACTCAGAAATCACACGCACCTTATTAGCAGAAAGGGTAACTGATGGAATAGCTTGCCAAAAACCTTCATCATCAATCACAGCCTTTAAACCATGACTGGAATTCTTCCAGGAAAAGATATCCACTAGATCAGTCACAAGCTAGCAGGCTTGTAAAAGTTCACTTACATTATAGAAAATAATTTCCTTTATTGCAGGAAGCACTGTATGAAATCACCTAATCTCTGCTATGTCAGCTTAATTTATCAGAGTCATTCCTTCTGGCCTTAAAAATTAAAAAAAATCTACTAGCTTCCTTCTACCTTTGGGAAGGATGTCAAGGGATCGGATAGAGCGGTGCAGGCCTGAGGGTCTCCACTGGAGTTTAGCTGAACCCAGACTGAGCCGTGAGGAAGAGTGGACAAAGAAACTGGGCTCAGCAGTACTGGGTCGTGGGAAGTCTCACCCAAAGCCTTTCCCTCAGCCCATCCCGGGTGTGTTCACTTTCACGTAGCCCCTAAAAGAAACGTCATGCTTGACCATGGGATGCACAGGGCGGGGGGCTCAGGCACTGGCTGCAGCAAGATGTGCTCCCAAAATCCCCTCTGAGCCCCCAGGGATGGAGGGAGGGAGGGAAGGAAGGACAGACAGAGGGAATGACGGACGGAGGGAAGCAGCTGCTCCTCCTCTTCCCAGAAGCTATAGCCACACAGCGTGAGGGGACAAGTGTATTTAATTGCCACATAACACTGCCCAGCCCCTGGCCTCCGGGTGCCGATGGCAAAGCGGACCCGACAAAGGGACCAAAGACACCGGGCTCAGCTGGGCTCAGACCCCAGGCAGGCTCCTGCCCCTCTGCCCCACGCTCTGAAGAGCTGCAGGCGAGGCAGCTCATCACCGGGGCCATAATAAGCTCAGGGATTTATGCTGCAAAGGGGCTTTGCAGAGGTGAGGGCAGCATCATTAAAGAAAGCAGCAGGGAGCGGCCGAGACTGAGATGAATCCCTCCCCAATTCATCCCCCACAAGGGCACTCCTGCCTTCTCAAGAGCCATCATTAAACGCTGCTACACATGATATAAATCAAGGAGACAAATGTATCGTCGCCGAGGAACAGGCAGGTCCTAGCAGAAAGGGAAGCAGAGCCTGGCACCAAGCCGTGCTGCACAGTCACGGCACGAAGGATGCGCTGGGGCATCACTTGTGCCCATCAGTCAGTCCCACACAGAGAGCCAGGACCAGCTCACCACTACAATCCCAGCAGAGCTCAGCTGCAATTAAGAACAAAAACCAGTTTCTCTAGGAATGTCGGTGTGTTTCCAGGAAAAAAAAAAAAAAACAAACCAACAACCCAACCTCCTACACAAGTTTCAGGCATTAAGGCTGCAGCCGCTACAAGGACAGCCTTTGATGTGGTATTTTGGCAGGCCTGGTCCCAAGAGGTTATTTTTCTACACGTAAATGTCAAGGGGAAATAGGTAACTTTTTGTGAAAATTAAAGCATTTCCGCATGAGGATCAAATCCACGAGTTGTTAGGGATTTTTCCTGGAGGGGGAGGGCGGCTGAATTGCCTTACTGCTCTTTTGTTTAGTCACAGAAAAAGACAGTCCAAGGAAATCCTTTAAAACTGGTATCAAAACGCTTCAAGAATTCAAAGGACTCCACCCCAGAACTAATGGTTTGTGTCCCATCTGAGAAAACATCCACCTTGTTACTTCTCCACAGGCATTTTAAATAAAAGGATTTCTTCTTTCTAAGTCTTCTACTGTTGGGTCTCATGTTTGCTGCCTACACAGCACCCCACGCTGCTTGCTGGGTCCCCAGCCTGGACACTTCCAGAGAGGTTTTCTTAATCACTTTCTATATGACTGTCACTTTACTTGCAAATACCAAAAGGGCAAGCAAAGGATTTGCACCCATCCAGCCCTTCGCACGCAGAACAGACTTAAAGAGACAAATATAACTAGATCCTCCTTGGAAATGAAAAAGCATCAGCAAGAAGCAGGCAGTTTCCACCAAGAGCACGCCAAGTTTAGACAAACAAGCCTGGGATGGGTGACAGGCATTAATGAAACACCCCTCTGCCTGGGAAAGATAAACAAGAGCAGCTTTTTTAAATGTAAGGGACACGGGAAAGTGAAGGACAGGCCGATGCTGGTTGGAATGAACTCAGAAGCTGGGGGCAGGCGGGCAGAGAGAAGCCAGATTAGGTTTGAAGCATCAGCAGAGCCTTCTCCCTCCCTGGGAAACTGATGAAGAGTGCTCCAAGCAAGAGGAACCACTTGAAAATGATTCCTTCTCTCCTTTTGGGACCAAAGCAAGGTACAACTAAATCACCTCTGTGAGTAAATCTTTAAAGCCAACATATGTAAGAGATGATTCTTACCACTCTGAAGATGCTTCAGACCCAGCGTTTTCATAAAATTCCGACTCAAAACATAAGCAGTTGGTCTTTTGGGCTCTGTGGACAACAGGGTGCAAAACAACTCAATGCTGATATTGTCAGGGACACGGAGGGACAGCACCTTGAGAGCTTGGTGCAAATCTATGCTACAATTGGTTTTGTTTAACCGTATCTTCCTATTATTTACTTCTGGTTTATGATTTTGGGGGTCTACTACTTAAGATGAAAGTCAGATTTTCAAAAGAACTCGGCATGTAATGCTTGAAAACACCTAAAACCTTATTTTACTGCCTAAAAAGAATTTGTCCTTTGCCGACACTCAGCTGCTTTTCAATAATATGGATGTATTGACCCCGACCAAAGCCAAAGGCAAAACTTTTGCTAAAGAAGAAACCTCAAAACGGTCAAAGCAAAGGGCGGAGTTATTTTATATGCTGCTAAGTAATTCTGGTCTAAAGGTTCTGATTAAATGAACTATCATCAGAACTAAGCACAAAAAAAACCCTCCTTATTATGGTCTGCATCTGACTCGGCACTATTTTAGAGTTAACTAAACCACTCCTGCTTAGGATTAGTGCTGTAATAGTGAATTTGCTTTTCTGTACTCAGCCTAAGATGATGCATGAACTAAACCCACAGTATTTTCTATACTCGGCCTAAGCTGATGCATGCACTAAACCCGCAGTATTCAGCATGCTTCAGAAAAACACACTGCTTTGTACATGAGTTCCACGGGTCTAAGCCAGCATCACCAGAGATAGGCAACAAATGGACATATTTATGCAGTATTCCGTGGCAGATATGACTGCCAAAAAGCTGCAGTTTCCAGAAAAAATGCAGATGCAAAACATCAGTAGCCACGCAACGGTGGGAAAAAGCCCGCAGAAGGAAAGGGGAGTGTGAACTCTGAATTTCCCTGGTTTTCAAAGGCTCATTCTGTGGACTTGGAAAACGTTCATTGGCAAAGCAGCTCCTAGCACAGTGTGGAAGTGATTCCGGCTTTGTCCTTGGGAAGGGAGGGGCGTTACTCAGCCAGCAGTTACACGCTCACCTCCATTTCTTAGCCATAAGCAGAGTATTTCACTCTTTTACCTCTTAAAAACCTCTAGGGGGGGGGTATGCAGATACCCATCCTGCAGTCAGCCTGAGCACCACCGACGGGGGCTGTGCTGCTCGTGTAGTCACTGCTGTTTTCTAAAATGCTCGGAAATACCTGACCAGGAAAGATGTTTTACAAAACCAAAGGTCATTAAAGGAAATTACTGCATTTCTACTTATTTCCTTCATCCTGGGCGAGGCTTAGGGAATGCCTGCAGTGAGGGAGATACTGAATAAATGAGCCAAAGGGAGAGGAAAAGCAGCAGCGAGTGGGAAAGGGGGGAACAACCCCCCAAGAGTCCCTGGGCAGCCCCGTTCGATGGATCCTGGCAGATCCCTGAACTGCTGCAGGCAACTGCAGGAACAAGTACAAGAACTAACACAGATCGGTGGGCAGAGGATGGGAGAGTCAGACAGCCCCATCTCGGTGCAAAAGCAGCATATGGGGTTTGTTTTCCTCCTTTGCTGCCGCTCAAGTTCCAGCAGTTAAGACAATCTAGTTATTCAATTTAGATAAGCTTCAGTAGCTAACAGCAATTTTAACAGCTGCTTATGCCCCACCATCCTGTTACTACCTCCTTCTTCCCAAGTGCTAATGCCATTAGCAAATTGACTTCCTCCCTCACACAATCTGTCTGGCTTTAGTAGGTACAATACTAATTGCTTCCTAATACTTAGGACCGTCAGCAGGCAGCAGAAGTTTGTACCACAAACCCCCCCTCCAGCTGGGAACTGGTAGCATGCAGGGTTTGCACAGAGTCCCTGCCATCCTCTCCTCCAGGTGAGGCAGACAAACTGGCCAAGTGGGGGAAAAAGAAGTTTTAAGTAGCATATTATCAATTCAGAGCAGAAAGGGACACTTTTTTTTTTTCTCATTCAGCCCCTTATGGTGGGAAAAACAGGGACAGTGACTAAGAAAAACATGTGTATTGCAGGAAGAAACAGAAAGAATAGTAGGGATGGGGAGAGTGCTGGTTGGAGGGTCCGTGCTTCAGCTGCTTTCACTGACCTCCCTGTACCTCTGATCTCCCCTGTTCCCTTTTTGTGACCCTCTGCTCTCCCTTCCTCCCCCTCCATCCCCCAGCAGATGTAAACACCAGTCAACACGTTCGATTGCTGCAAAACTCAAAAAGCATACAAGGGAAATGCCATTTCAAACAGCAACTACAAGAAGACCAGTCCCATCCTTTCTGGTAGCTGGAGCCACACTGTCCATCACAGCCCTCCATCTTAAAATAAGCATTAAAAACCAAAAAATTAATCTTTCCTGCTCTGGGTATCTGGCTCCCCTCGGAAAAAAAAAAAAAGAAAAAAAAAAGGAGGACACAATAAAAAGATGAAGGATGCTCTTGGCTCCCACTCTGACCTCTTCAGCTAAGTAATCAGAAAATGGATTGTCCTGGACCTTTCATGTAATCTTTCTGCATTTCTAAACCACAGCTGCCCACAGGATGCAAGCCCCTGCATTTACATTACAAAGAGCAGAGAGGCTCTTCCAGATGGGACAGCTTCTCTTTGTTGATTTTAACCATTAGCTCCCAAACTAAGCATCTATCTACTCCCATTGTTCAGAGAGTTCTTCATCACCGAGGGGATCCCACAGCCTGCCCCAAATGCAGCCGGAGGAGGTCTCATCCCACGCAGCAAAATGGGCAGGAGAGCAGGCAGCAGCACTCACCTCTCCTCTGACCACTCATTTACAAAGCTCAATCCCTCATTTCTTCATGTTCAGTAGGCAAAAAGAACTCTGTAAATCAGGTGTGTGGAAAGTGCCTATTTCAGTTTGCATTAGCCATTTGTATTTTTGTTGATACGTACTAAAGAGAGTGGCTGCTCTCTGCCCACACTGCGATGTGTGCTACGGGGGCACCTGCCACAAAGACACCCATGGATGGACAGGAGAGCTCTGGCCATGCTGAATGCAGGCAGGAGGCTCCCGGGGAGGCTGAAACATGGTGACACACGTCATGGTGCTGCTGCTGCTGCTTTTTACAGGCTGTGGAAAGAGGAGAATTTCCTGGGGGCGAGAAGAGTTTTGCAGGACAGAAATCGAGGGCTCATTGTATGCAGAGCTGGCTCACTGTGGTGTTAAATCTGAGCCAAGGTGCATTACCCTGCTCAGAAGAGGCTCACTGTGGGTTTAGTCAAGTTGATTAGAAATAGGTTTTAAGATAAAAGAAGCCAGATAACCTAAAGGATGTATCAACGGGACAGATTAACAGTAAACCAATGCAAAATGTGGAGTTTACTGTAAGTTTTTTTCATCCTGACCTTATAAACACACGAGATACAAAGGTGTGATTTCATCTCCCATCTCTACAGCAGAAAGTGGAAGCGATGAAGAGTCTTACCTACGTGGATCTCCTGCCCCAACTCAGGGAAATACTGCTGAGCCTCTGAGCAGTTAATTCTGTAGTAGAGCTACAGGAGAGCTCTTTGGGAAGGCAAAGGAATTCTGCATTAAGAAAACATGAGATTAGTAGGTATGAATGGACTGTTTTGCAATCCACTCCCCTTCTAAACCAGGTCAATGGAAAAGATCTCTCCAGGGAGAGCTTACGGGAGGTCCTAGAAATACTCCAGAGCACAGGGGAACAGATTACCCTGGAAATGCACAGACAGAAATCTGCCCACGAGCCTCCCCAAACATCTGATGCTGCAACCCAGACGGACTTCAGAGCAGGGAATGAGCAATGCTGCAAGGAAGAGAACTGCAGCCAACTGAACTTAAATCTCTGCCTAGACGGGTACGTACAACGCGTGGACCAAAGTAAACATCTCCCAAAAAGCAGCAATGGCACAGCCTGAGAAGCACAAGATCAGCAGCCAACATCCCTCAAAGCTGGATTTCTAATCAGCTGCGTCCACTAACCTTAAAAACAAGCTGATTTAGGTCCTGCCTAGCACTGGTTCTTTGGTTTGGGCATTCAAACAATAACAAAAATCCAGCCCTCAGCACGCCAAAGCACGGAGCCAGCCCCTCTCGCTGGGCTGGGGAGGGACCTGTGTTTATTTGCTTTCTCCACAGGGCTTTCTTGGATTACTTGCTGCCACAGGATTGCAACAGCGATAATGAATCTAATTACCCATTTCCTGCACCCTGTGCCACTGGAAGAGTTAAACTATAAGGTATCCCATCCTATTTTGCCTCCATACCTTCCAAAAAGTCTTCTTCAGTCACCTCAGCCTTACACACCATCGGGTTTGCTAAACTAGATTTAACATTCCCTGCTCTCACGATATTTCTCTTTCAGGCATTAGCCCTCCTTCATCAAGAGGAGCTGAGTTTCAGCAGCTGTTACTCCATCCCTGCAGCTCTTTGCAGTGTCTCTGGGAGCTTGGTAAGGCCACGCTGCAGGGTGCTTACAGCAGTAGCAAGGAAAGCTTAAAGCAAGAGAGAAATCCTTCTACTGCATATGGTTGGAGGATGCTTCCCGAGATGACTCACGCTCAGCCAGGGAGGAGAGCCCCGAAGATATCTAACAGCTTGTGGGTGTTTGTTTTCAGGCAGAAAGCGAAAGCAGTAAAGGCAATGAGGCACAGCAGGAATTTCTCCATCTCGAGTGGGACAGTGGCCTGGGCTTTACCAACACCATCACTCAGCCAGGTGAGAACTCGGGGCCTGATGCAGGAGCAGCATCAGCTTGTGGCCAGGAAGGTCCGAGCGCAGATCTCTGTGCCAGCACATCTGCACGGAGAGGACTACTCACGGACCCCTTCCCCACCTATGAGGAGTTCAGCGATTCCAGTTTCTACAGCTTAAGCGCAGAGGAGTGCAGAAGATTTCAAGAGCTCCTGGAAAACAGATGCGACCAGTACAAAGCAATTTCCAGGGAACAAGAAACCCCTCACAGGTCAGAGGGCCAGGAGGGAGGCTGCAAGCAGTGCATACAGGACCAGTGGCTCCCTAAGTGCCGTCGGGTTGGTGAAAATAGCACCCCAAGAGAGAAAAGGCTGCAGCACAGGGGTGAACTCTGCCTGCAGAGTGCAGTGAACGGGGAAAGAAATAAAGCCAGCAAGGACAAACCATCAGCACAGGCCACAGACATGTGCCCACCACCTGATATCGCTGCCAGCTCAAAAAAGCTTAGGATTCCTCACCAAGCACATCGTTCCAGGAGCTACTTGAGTTTGCTGCAGGAAAGGGCTGCTGCAGAGTGTCCAAGCGACCCGGTGAGAGTGTCAGTGAAAACCAGGGCGATGCAGTGAAAGCCCAGAGGGCAGAGCAGGGGATAACGGGAACAGATGGAGGCTGGCATGTGAAAGGAGCAAGCGACACAAGAACTGGCTGCTAAAGGACAGGGCCTTGAGAATCGCACAGGAACAAAATGGACTGACCACAGATGAGGATGCCCACAGTGAGCTGAAGACTGGGAAATACTGGAATAAAGCTCAGAGAAAGCAGCACATGCTCCTAGCCAAGGAACAGAAACAGAGGAGAAAAACTGCAGAGGCAAAGGGAACAGCTGAGCGAAGACAAAGCCGGCACTGAGCTCAGGAGGAACTTCAGCATTGTGGAGCTGAGTCAGAGAAAACTGATGAAGAACAGAAGCAAGAAAATCCTGGAATACTGGATCACCATCCAGGAGCTTCTAACCTACGGGACCAGATCGTCAGACAGGCTCTCCGTCACAACTGTGTAGCTCTTGCCAGAGGTCCAGGCGTCAGGAAGGGACAGCACAGCTTCCCGAAGGCATCTTGTCACTGCCGAACGGTTCCCCGCGATGTTTCCAAACTTCTGCGGGTTGTTGTGCCCATTAAAGTCTCCTCGAAGAAACACGGAACTCGGCAGAACTACACATTGGGAATTCAAGCCTGATGACAGGCTTGCTTCTCCACTCAAACACAGCTAAACAACCCCAGGGGCCACTGATCACAGTCCTGATATACTTATTACCTACTTCCCTGTACGCAAAGATTTGCCTCATTACATTTCATTCTGATTTTTTTTTTTAATAGAATTCTCTGCAAATGGGGCATTTGCCTCCATATCCAACTCTCTCTATATTAAAGCTTTTTTTTTGTTCTGTTTTAAAAAGAAAAAATAATCGTATGCTTCAGTCTTTAATATTAGAGTTGTATCATTATTTTCCCCAGAATTGGGTGTGCTGTGCATTCCTGTACTTTTGTTCATAGAAAAAAAAACAAAACCCAGACTTAGTAAATATAGTTGTTTACTGTTAAAATAAGAGACAGAAAGCAGAAAGAGAAGGAACTTAATAGGTCCCTCTGTGGATTCTGTTACCAAGGGGGAAACAATACTCCCTGCAGAGTTGCTGCATGTTTTATACTTATTAATCACCAAGAAAAATGAAAGATCCCCAAGCCCACTGAACGATTCCTTTCCTCCCCCTTTAAAGATTTTAGGAATGAGCTCAGCTCTGAGTCATGATTAAAAACATCCAGTTATATTCCTGAGCAGCAGAGCTCCAACTGAAGATTTGCTTGTGCTACCCAATGCTCCCTGCTTCACTGTTCCACCACTACAAAGGAACCAGGGCAAGCTCCAAGCTATTGCTTGAAGATACTTTACAGTTTTCCAGGCTCTAGTAGAAGGAGATAAATCTCTCTAGAGGAGACAGGCAGAGGTGGTTGGCCCCTCATCCCCACAGTGCCCCACAGCTACTGAGACCTCTTGGATCTGATGGAAAGGACACCAGCCAGCCAGGAAACTAAAAAAGTGACCTTGTTTCTTTGCACCTCTTGCTGGAAAATCACCATCTACCAAACAACGATCTGTGCCAGCTCACACAACCAGAGAGTTCTTGGCAAGGCAGGAGAAATTTGAAGAAATAAGACAGGAATAAGGATCACAAGTTATTAGCTAAATAAAAACTCCCCAGACACCTAGAGGTAAAATAAAAGCCCCTTAGAGAAGCACAGCAAGGTAGTTAACAGTGAGGAGTTCTCTGTGGCTCAGCATCCTCTAAACTCCCATCTGGACCATTCCTTTCACACAACGTAGAGGCAAACTGCCTTGCCCCATCTGGAGCTACTGTCTGCACTACTCCATTTCCAGCTCTGGTTCTACAGTCCTGTAGAAGCTTCAGAAAATATCTGGTAATAAACTGTGTCAGCCAGAAAAAAAAAAATTAAAAATTACAAACACCATGAAATACGGCATCAGCACTAATGAAGAGACAGAGACAAGAAATTGCATTACATCTCAGTTCATTACTTTGCAGCTCTCCTTCTCAACATCTTCCGCAAGAAGCAGAGCGCCATGCTCACCAAGACTCCCCCTATCATTCCACTTCCAACTCCTACCAAGCATTCATAAAACAATTCTCCTTGACAAAAGTGCTGCTCTTCTTGCACTTCTTCATGGGTGCTGTTTTCTGTGGGTTCTCCCTGCTTCTTTGCTGTTAACTTCTGTTCCCAAGTCAAGAATTTTTGAAAGTTCAGATCCACCAAGTCATTCTGGATCACTGTGACCCCGAAGTAGACCCTCTTGATGATCCTGAACGTCTTCGACATCTGCACGTCGCATCGGTAAGTCCCTGCATCAGACTCCTTGATAGGGGAAAATCTGATGACGGAATCAGGGTTTTGGAAAGGTTTGAACAGTGCATCGTTTGTGGTGATAAGGCCTCGGGCAAGCCTCCACTTATAGCTATAGGCTCGGCTCCCCAAGCCGGCGGTGCCCACGGCCAGGCAGCTGAACTGGAAGGGTTTGCCCACAGGGACGGTGAAGTGGCGTAAGCCACAGACCCAGCTGGTCAGGCACTCGGACCTGTGCAAGCTGCAATTCCTCCTCTGGCCCTCAGCAGTGATCTCACACAGCTCCTCCAGTTTGAAGCCCAGCCCGCAGGTGACGCTGCAGGATGTGCTGTTGACCGGGATTTTCACTACAGCCGACTTCAGGTGTTCTGGGATGGTAATTTTTTGAATGGTAACTACCAATGGCAGATAGAAAGCACAAGGTAATATCCCAAGGATGTGGCTCTTCCCCAGGGTCTTCATATTGGGGTTATCAATTAGTCAGCTGCTTCCTAAATCCACGCAAATTCAGCAGTCAAAAAAACCCCACAAAATCATTCTTTGCTAATCTTCAAACTTCGTTTTTCTGAAATCCCACCAGCAACATGTTCAAGACCTACGGAAAAATCCTCCAACAAGGCAGGCTTGAAGTACACTACCAAAAAAAAAGATGCAACACGTTACCATCTCGGCCAAAATGTGCATCGTGAATTCCAGTTCTTGTAAGAGGGCAGCAGAGTATTTTAATCCATTCTATTGCAGCAATTTGGATATAACTGACAATTTAAAAAAGATAAAGTCCTCCCTTCTCTGTAAGATTTTACATATCATTTTAGATGAATTTCCACTGTAAAGAAGTACTGTTCCAGTTTAATTTTCCCACCAAATTATAAAACAATGTAAGTAATTGCTACTGGAACCTTTAAAATAATGCTGTTGAGCAGAAGGAAATCCTAATTCCTTATGCAGCACCTGTAGAGTTCCATTTTATAGCTGCATATCCCAAAATCTAAAGTACTCCTCAGATTACCCAGATCATGAAAACAACATTTCACAGTCTGGATGGTCTGATGGCACTGAAATCCAAGGCAATCCCATGAGTGTTTTATCCCAGGTGTAGGTGGGGCTCAGCACAGCCCCTCGCATCCCCCCGTTCCCAGGGAAGCAGTGCTGATGTCACAGTCCGGCTGCCCGGGCAGAACGCAGCCCCCAAACCTTCTGAGGGAGAACAAAGAACTCCTCCAAGTCTGAAGCCAAAGCGAGTCCTCGGCATAAAAGCAAAAGTATGAGGCTCTTACCATCCACTGTCAGACTCAGAGGGGAGCCAACAGCACCGGCCTCAGGGCAGCGCCCAGAGGAGCCACGAGCCTGAGCCACAGACAGCCACCAACTCCAGAGAGATCTGCCCAAAACCTCCACATCCCACTGATGCAGCTGTAAAACAGGAACCACTCATACACCCAGGATAATTAGTGCTCAAGTGTCCCAAAAGTATAATGCACTGCTAAAAAAGTTCTTTGTGAAAAAAAAAAAAAAATCAAAGTTACTTATTTTTGATGAAGTAACTGAACCATGGTCACAGTAGCTCAATAATCAGTGTCTCCTTACCAGCAACTGAATTACGGATGTCAGAAGGGATTTGGATTGCCATGTTCTTCACCAGCTCTGCTAATGAATATATCCGTATTTCTCTTCCTAACACTCCTTAATTTATTAAAATGACGACTTCTGAAGATCTGTAGGTATTTTCCACCTTCAGTTTCCCTGGGGTGTGTTCAGCTCCCTCCCACACGTCTGTCTCAGCGTGCCCAGGCTGTGCTCAGGTATTCAGAGCTTTTATTGGACTAAAGATTTCCTCCTCTCTCTTGAAAAGAGATCAGCCAAATGCCACACAAAAAAAACCCAACCAACACCACACCAGGCATGGTGAAGGCACAGCAGGTTTGAGTTTTCACCGGAGCTGTACTGTGAGATTCCTGAACGTTGCCACAATATAAACAACAGAGTTTGTATGGAAAAGCCAAGATTTACCCATTGACTTTAAGAAATAAAACATACCTCTTTATTTACAAACACAAAAACTAACATCACTGCTATATACTACCATCAAGCCAGTATCCGACAAATATTGTACAAAACTACAGATACCAAAAAAATAAAATAAGAGATGGAAGAAAATAAACCAAGAACATATACACTGTACAGAGAAGTTTTAACAGAAATGAAAGCTGGAGTCTGTGGCAAATCATATGCTTTAACACAACCTAGAGAACCATTGCCTGTACATCTTTTAAAGCTTGCAGGGTCAGCCACACCACATAGGGGTGGATTTCACACAACAGTGTTGCAGGAAAGATGCGAGTCATCCTACAAGCAGGAAGAACAAAGAAAACTGATACTGTACACATGGGAATGAATTTCATTAAATGAAGCAGGCCACTGTACCAAAGCCGGAAATGAAAACGCCAGTTTTAAAAAAAACCTTCTGATTTAAAATGTCTTCTCTCTTCCCATGCTTATATCTCATGCAAGTACTGTGCTCTTCCGACTGCAAATTTATAAATCTCTTTATGACTACTCCTCCTGGTTTTTAATGTCTGAAGGATACTTTGGAAATTTAAATATGTAGTAATAATCTCAATAACTACATCTGGGGAAAAACTGAAAGTAACTGCATAGGAACTATAAAAGTCTGTAAAACAAGGGGCATCAGGAATGAAAACTTTCTTTTCATAGGTGGTTGGTCTAGTACAGAGAGGTGTCAGGCTGTAGGTACGAGATAGAGGAAGTGTCTCTTCCCATTCCCAAAAGGAAAATATTACAACCGTCTTTAAGGAATAAAAGGTTAAAGCATGTCTGGGAATGAGCTGTTAGCATTCATCTTTCTTCCATTCTTGATCCAGATGTGGGGGAAAAAAAAAAAAAACAAACCACCACAGAGAAAAATTGCTGTTTCAGTTTGGAGAAATATTGATTCTGGTTTTAATCTAACTGCCAGTACCTACTAGCTAAGGAGGAAACCTGCTGTTTCTGATAGGCACCTCACAGGAAAGAGAGACAGAATAAAAAGACTTGCAAGGACAGAAAGAAAATGCCAACACAGCTCTTCACATCACAGGCTAGAAGAGATCATATAAACCGAGTATTTTAACTAGAGCTATTTTCACTTGTTCCTTCTCCCAAAAGCAGAGTCATCCTTCATTTCTAAAATATCCACAATATGAAGACTCATTCTTTGCAGACTTCAGAGGGTGCTTGATTCTTCACAGTGGATCTCAATCCACCTGAGATGAAATCAAACCCGGCACGTGATGGGCAGCAGGGTTTCACTAAGCATGTCAGCACAGAAGACATCACAGTGAGCTAACAGAAAAGCTGAGAAGGTAACACAGCTGGCATAGAAGGAGTTACAACTCACTGAAATGAAAATTAACAGCAGAGAAAGGGAAGTTTGCAGGATACACAGTCATACGGCATTGGAAATAAAAATACACACTTTGGGTATTCTTCAATCCAGGAAAAAAAAAATAAAAATTTTAAAGACAATGGCTGATAAGCTCTGGAGTGGCAGAGTGTTGGGTACCAGCTCACTTCAGAAATAGTGATATATGTCAACACAAAGGCAGTCCAGTCAGTCTCTTTGCAAATCTCATGACCTGAGAGTCAGCATCTTACACTGTTCCATGAAGAGGCAGTTAAGAAGAAATGAAGGCCGTTTCCTCTTCCACATTCATTTCTTACAAAAGTCACTCCCTGAATCCATGAACAATCAGTCTGCTGTATTAATCAGTCCACTCTGACTGAGCATTTCATCTAGTTTCCACATTATGGTGCCAATATAGGAAAGAATACAGGAAGATAGAGAAGAGTCTTCATAACAATTCTGAGATTGCACCACCTGCTAAAGAGATCAAAGACAGGTGAAAAATAAGTAACCAGACTCAAACAGATGTTACCAGAAACCAGAGACCACCAAATATGGCAGCATTTCCAGAAAACAAACAAACCAACAAACAAAAAAAAAAAAATCATTTCAGAATGAGATATAATCAACAAGATACTATCTGTGACAAACTGAGAGCTCCAGTATTTCTGCATTTGTATTTGAGATCCCGTGCACAGGCATGGACAAGGTGGCTAAGGAAGCTTTTACTCCGCAAAGTTGCAAGCAAACTTACCTGGTGTCCAATTTTTTAATTCATCAATCCCAAAATCTTAAGAGCAAAAGCACAACTCAAAACAAGTTCCACCTAAGTTTGGGTTAAACCAGACTGCCGTTAAGATTTTATTCTGAAAGTACATAAAGTGGCTCAAGCTTCTCAGTTTGTTTATACTGAAACCTGATTGTGACAGAGCAGCTTTAAGAAGCCGTTTATTTACTGCCAGACTGCACAGCACCAGGCTCCAAGCTTGCAGAGAGACACTGGATTGTGGCACATCAGCAAACAGCTTCCAGAGGAGAAACGCTTGTTGGGCGACTGTTTTAGCGACTCATTAGTTACTTCAGAAAGTGACAGCACAGGGAACTAGCAGAATTCACAGCTTCATGCACAAGAGACAGAAAAAGCTTCAAGATCCCAGGCAGGTGGCCATTTGAATTTGGGAGTGGGTATTCGCACATGGTGGAACACCAGCAACCCCAAGAGAAAAGTGGCTGCCCAAAACGGGAATTGTGAGTGCAAACCAGAAAGAGAACAAAGGAGGACAGGCCTGAACTTCATGGACTAGGAGGCTACTGTGTGTTTGGAAAGATCCAAGTGACCGTTTCTTTCAGTGGACAATCTGTTCTTCTCATAACGCGACTCCCATAGACCCTTCCAGCACTGCCTGCCAGGATCCACTTCATGGACCTACCACATGGATCGATTAGATCCTCTTAAGTCAACAATGCTGCAAAAGGGAGCACAATAACAGCTCCTAATGAGAGACAGAAGCCAATCACTGCAATATTATTTGCCTATAGCTCCATCCAGCTAAAGAACAAATGGAAAAATACCTTAAAGTGCTTACAGGCAACAGAGAATAAAAGTAAAATTTAGGAAGTTTTACCATCTCCAATAGATGGCTGAAAGTCGGGAACTTGGGTCTACACACATTTGTTTGTAAGAAAAGGAAATTTTAGTGTCTAAAAACCAATGCTAACTGTACTGGCACGGATACGCACATCCCAAGCTCGGCAGCAGTACCATCCACTGTCGTCTTTTATAGCAAGTCAGATTATATTATAACAACAGCATGGGAACATTACAAGCAAAGCCACACAAAAATCTTCCCAGTATGGCTTTGCAAAGACACATAAAAAAACCCAAGGCAGGAGTCTGTCTAGAACATTGCTTCACTTGAAACGTGTTGGAGGAAACAGGAGTATTATTTTCCCAGCTCTCAGAACAGACTGATGCAACAGTGATCACAAGCTGCAGGAAGAAAGTACACTGAGATCTGTCTACAAACATAAATCAAGCAGATCAGTAAAACAAGTTGAT